CCCAAAAGTTGACCCAGCGGGTATTGTCCCACCCCTCACCCTCTGGCCCAGCAGTTCCTCTTTAAAGTTCAAGTTCTGGACTGGGCTTGAGTTCAGACCCAGGAACGCCCCTTCCTGGAGCTGGAGTGAAAGTCTTGGGGAAGGAGTGAACTTGTGGAAGGGTCCCCGGCAGCTCTCCCAAGGAAAGAGGGAAGAAGGAGGGAAGAAGTGGAGAGAGGGGGAAGGGAGGGGGAGGGATTCCCTGCCTTTTTTGATTAAACGTCCCAGGTCGGGCCTGCCCAGTTAACGAGACCGTTAATTAAGCCGTGCCCAATTCAACTGTCAGGAAGGCCCTGCGCCCCGCAGAGAGGTTCTGGAAATCAAGCCGTCCACGGTGGTGCGCGAGTCCAGGGTTCCACGCAGGCGGGCACCCGCTTCCATCTGGAGACCCGAACCCTCACCCACTCCGCCCTCGCCATCCCTTCAGCGTCCCTGCGCGGACACCTAGTCCTGAACCCACGCCCTGACCCAGGCATCACAGCCCTGGGCCGTGCACTCCGGTCTGCTTGGGTGCACAGGATCTCAGAGTCCTCCGGCAAAACCCAACTCCCGAGGACAGAGGTTGGGGACCCAGTCTGCCGCCTCCGCTCGCCGGATCCCGCCAGAGCGCCAAACCAGCCACCAGCGGCTCGGGCCTGCAGGCGGCGGGCGCAGGCTCCACGCCCACTCCTACTCCGGGGCAGATTCCCGCCGGCGGCGGGCCGTGCGCTGCGGCGCGGCGGGACGCTGAGTGTGTGTGCGCGGCGCGGCCTATATTTACACCCCAAACAAAATAATTACACTTTTGTCGGAGGGAGAAAGCCAGTGATTAGGCGCGGGCTCTTTGCGGCAAAACAGTTTCTCAGTGGTACACCAGTATAATTTTTCACGGCTGGCTGAAATCAAAGAGGGGAGGTAATGAATCCGGCGAGCAATTTAAATTTACAATTTGTAACGCCGCCGCCGCCGCGCAGACCCGGCCGAGAGCGCAGCTCCCAGGCGCTCGCTGCGTTTGTTTAATGTTAAACCGCGCCGGCTCTTGGGGTGGGGGGGGGAGTTCGTGTGCGAGTTGGGGGTGGGGAGGCGGTAACGATCGAAGTCGCGAGAGGACCCGCTGCTTCGCCCGAGATACCGAGGGGAGAAGGGAGCGAGGGGCGCGCCCCCTAGATCCCCCCCAGCCACCGCGGCCCCCAGCGCGCGCGATCTTCAAAAGAAGCAGGCCACTCGAGGCTATTCAAAGGGAGGGAGTGCCCTTAAAAGGGACCAGGAGAACCACTAGCAGCCGGTGAAGCCCTGGTCCCCGTTTCTGCAGAATCCCCCAGGCCGGCGACTCCCCGATCAGGAGTACAAGGCGTGCAACTGAAATGTCCTCCTCTTCCACCTGAGGAAAAGGCGGCTCGGAACGGCCGGAGGAACTCTCCTTCCGGCCACTGCTCCGAGTCCCTGGCTGGAGGAGTCCAGGAAGGTACCCGATGCCCCACCTCAGCTGCCTTAAAACTCTCACTTGGGGCGGGTGTGCAGCCTCCTCGCCCGTAATTAATTACCGAACTCAAGGGGGAATATGCAAACCGCAGATTACTAACTCTACAGGGCTTAAGTGATTGGAAACAGATTATTATCTTGTTTGTCTTTTGTCTGTTTTACTTATCCCGCCGCCGTCTGTCGAGTTGTAATGTTGATACTCTTTACTCTAGGAGGAAGATTTTTATATAGTAAATTCCATCAACATCTTGTATAAGTGACATTGCGTCTCCATGCATTACCCTGTTAAGACACAAGCGGTTTATTAGTTACATATAGGAGGGGATTTCACTGCCTGGTCGCCATCTGTTAACGCTGCTGGGGCGGGATAATGCCTCTAATCGTTGGTCTGCCGGCGTTTGGGGATGCTGTGGACCGGGGAAGGTGATGGACTGGTGAAAGCAACACAGGCTTCCAGGCATGGAGGGGCAGCGAGGGTGGGTAGAGCCGTTCCTGGAACTGAACTTGGGCTGTGTGGAGGGCGAACCCCTAGAGGTGGGCAGTGCTTCGACCTGAGCAGATTCTGCTCTAAGAGCTGAAAGATCAGACCAGGGCTTCTGGAAATAGAACCCTCTTCTGCAACCAGGGATTCAGCACAGGGTGACCCACCCCTATCCAGGCTCAGGGGGACCGGGGGCAGCTGCTGCTCTCTGCTAGCCGTCCCTATCTTGCGACCTACCTGGCCTGCCATTGCRCAGTGGCTAAGGCCTGGCTGTGCATTGGAGAAGAGGGAGGGAGGATTTGTCAGAAAGAGTCGGAAAGAGCTAAGCGACACAGGCTGAGCGTGGACCCAGCGGGGCTGGGGAGGCACACCGATCTGGGTCCTTGAATTTTTTGTGAGGTCTCCATGGAGTGTGAACTCGGGTGCCTAGTCTGGAGCAGAAGAGGCTCCCGGGTAGAGAATTTGATCACCGTAGAGGGTATGAGTGGGGGTGTGAGACTTCTCCCCACACCCCCAAATCTGTACGGAGGGGGGGCACAATGAGAAAAGTCACTCGCAGCATTAGCCAGACGCTGGACTCAGAAAGCAGCCCCGGCAGAGAGGAGCTGAGGGAGACAAAAAGAGAAGGAGAAAATAGAGGGAAAGGGGAGGGAGAAACCGGTAAGGGAGACAGAACAGGCGCCGGGCCTGAGAGCCAGCCAGAGCCTGGAACAGAGAGGTGAGAGCTGGAGCCTTGCTCGCTCGATGAGACAAAGACGGAGAAGGCAGCAGGCGGCCGCACACTTCCCAGGAGCTGGGGCCTCTCCCGTCCTCTCTGGGTTCTTTTTTTTTTTTTTTTTTTTTTTCATCTATGCCCTGCCAGAGCTCAAGGACCATTCATGCCCCAGGCGGGCAGAGCCAGGTGCTACCAGAAACTGCAGTTTCCTTTGAGGCTCTCAGAGCCTCTCTCAGCTGGGCCTAGGAGGCCAAGTGAGAGCGACTCTTCCTGAGCCAGAAGCCTCACTACTGCTCTATGTAGTGCCTGTCCCCGGCCAGACAGAGGGTGAGGGCACAGTACTGGCAAGCAGAAGCAGCCCGTTTGGACTCCTCTTCCAGAGGCCCAGCTGGTGGGTCAATGACTCACCAGAGACCAGCACCCAAGGGTTCTCTGTCACCAGTGAGACCTTCTCCTCTAGAAACTGTSGGGGGACAACGCTTGACCTGACTGGGAACTAGGGAGAGAGAAGCATCTTTGTGCTCCAACACAAAAACCTCACTCCTCCCAACCCCTGAAAGGTAAACACTACTAGGAGCACACACAAATACAAACACCCTCCCCGACCTAGAGGAGTCACATAAACAAAAATTTGCTGTCTGAACACACAAACAGGCACCCAGATCTACAAAATTCTGCACTCCAAATGCCCAAGCCAGACCTCAGTCACACACAGGGAGGGTCTAAAACCTGCAGAGTCTCATCTACATACACACACACACACACACACACACACACACACACACGCTCAGATTTTTTAGAGTGTACTTTCACATCAGTGTTAACACGCACACATAGAAATAATCTTCCACAAACACACTGACACATACACACATCCCCACATTCATGCTGCCTCACGTAAGCACACATACACACACACACACACACACACACACACACACCAAAACGCACACACTCACACACAAATATTAGGAGGACCATACGCAGTTATAAACATGCATTTTTGCACACACACAGAAAAACACATACCAAAATGCACTCCCAAAATGAACACACTATAAACTGATGAAAATATTGCAACCTCCAAACAGCAAATATACACTAACAAGCTCAGGGAGTCCACCCAAACAAACATTTGATGCCAAGTCTTGGCACAACAGTCTTCTGGGCCCAAGCCCTACCCATCAGCCCTCTTATGAACGCAGCCCTCCCACCAACCCACTCTGAGCAGCCCAGGAGCAGAACAAATATCTGAGAGACACAGTCCCATCCTCCCCAGCTTGGAGGCTCCTGAGGGTGGCCCGGATGGCCTTCAAGAGGAAAAAAAAAAAAAGCCCTGGTCTCTTCTCATCCCTCTCAAGCCCACACACTCCCCCCCCCCCCCCCCCAGACCCCCCCCCCCCCCCCCCCCCCCCCCCCCCCCCCCCCCCCCCCCCCCCCAGACCTGCAGGGACACATACAAGCACACTAACAAGCATATTGCCCACAAACTCAGAGTCTTGTGGAGCTAGGAAAGCCCGGGGCTGCTCCTCCCGGGTCCTGTGAAGGGCCAAACTTCACACACAGCCGCCCGCTGGTGGGATGAGTGAGAACAGTGCCCAAGTAACCCCCAGCCTCTCTGCTCCCGTGGGGCCACCCACTCACCTTGGCGCCTGGACCTACTGATCTGGAATCTGGAAGGTGTGGCGGGAAAGGAGAGATGTGGTGAGGGTCACCTCTGAGTCTCTGAGTTGCCTGAGTGGAGACCCATCCAGGGTGGACCTCACCGCCCCCCTCTACAACTCTCTGAACTGAGTGACCGCTGCGCTCAGGCCTGAAACTCTGGCGTAGGGGATCAGGCGACACACACACACATACACCGCCCCAACCTGGGTCTGGGCAGAGGCCTGGGCCCTGTGGTCAGGCTGGAAAAGCTCCCCAAGCCGCGTGGCCTCCACTCTTTCCATGAGAAAGGCCCGGMTGGGCCCCAGCTTAGTGTATGACAAAAGAATCCAGAGTCCAGAGAACCGCGTTGTCGCAGCTCCAGGGCTCAGACCCCGGGGGCACCGGAGTGCAGAAGTCCAATGGGGGTGGGGCTGGGCAGGGGAAGGGGAGGCGGACTAGAGCGCGCTCCGGGCCTCGGGCAACTTCTGCAAGTTCCAGGGATGGCAAAACGGGAAGGGAGGCCCCTCCCTGACTAGGCCTTGAAACCCCGGCCCCCAAATATTGGCGAGGAGAGAGGAAGAAAAAGTCCGTGTTCGTGTCGCGCGCCCCGCACCCCTCCCCCAGCCCCAAACTGGAAGGTAAATACTTACTTAGCCTCCGAACCAGGTAGAAGCTAATACTCAACAATACGGATGCCTTGTTTTTTTTGCTCTGTCCGGACCGCAACGCTGTAGCCAATTTAGATATGCTATAAATTTAAGAGGTTGCCATGGCCACGGCGCGCCCATTGGCCGCTGGGCCCCCTACGTGCCGCGCCACGTCACCAAATCTGAATAAGGATGCGCGAATTAGGCGGCGGCCAGACAAAGATGAGGATCGGGACCGCTTGAAAGTGGGGGAAAGTGCCGGCGCCTTCGCCACCGGGGAAAGCCGCCCGGCAGTGCCGAGGCCAGCAGCCACCGGAGACACCTGGGGGAGCCCGGAACAGGCGCCGGGGCGCGCGCAACTGGGGCATGAGGTTGTGAACGCCGCCCCCCACCAACCCACTCTGGGCAGCCCAGAGCCAGGCCAGAGATCGTCCAAGGACTTGACTGGCTGAGTCTAGGTCCGGACCGGACTCGCCGGGCGGCGGCGGCGACAACAAGCGGAGAACAGCCGCGGGGCCCCGAGGCCCAAGGGCCAGCGGCCCCTAGGGACGGCGAGGCGGCGGGAGCCGCCAGGGCGCGGGGCTATGATGGTGCACTGTGCCGGTTGCGAGCGGCCCATCCTCGACCGCTTTCTGCTGAACGTGCTGGACCGCGCGTGGCACATCAAATGTGTTCAGTGCTGCGAGTGCAAAACCAACCTCTCGGAGAAGTGCTTCTCGCGCGAGGGCAAGCTCTACTGCAAAAATGACTTCTTCAGGTAAGAGCCCGCCCTGCCCGCGCTCCACCAGGGCGCAGGGGAAGGGGGACCAGGTTGCCCATCTCAGCCTCCCGGGCTCACGAGCGTAGCGAGGAGCAAAGGCCCTCTGCTCACTGTCCTCGGTCCCGGAAAGGGCTGAGCCCAGGCGGAGAAAGAAGGACGCGGCCAGCTGCCCGGCCTGCCCTGCCCCTCCAGGGGGTCGGTGCAGAGGGCAGGGGAGGAAGCCCTGACAAACTTGCTCTCCATCCGTCCCTTCCCCTGCCCAACGCTGCAAGCCCAGGACACACGCGTCAAGCCCCATTCAAGGGAGAACGGTTCTCCCCAGAGTTAGGGGCCGCTGGAGGCTTCTCCCTTCAGCAGAATGCAGAAGACAGGGTGCCCTCCTGGACACTGAGAAACTTCCCCGCTCCACAGGAAGGTCGGGAAGGTCGGCCCTGGCTACAGGCAGAAGGAATTTGCCCTCCCATTCCCCCAACCCCTTAAACATTGCCTCCCATGTTGAACAGCACCAACGAAATGGAGGCTGGGAACCGGGATCTTGGAGGTCTAGCCGGGGCTGTGGCACCTACCTCCCGATCTGTTTGGGGCCCACAGGCCAGGACGGCTCACTTCTCTGGGCCTCAGTTTCCCCAGTTGGGAAAGCTGAGGGACAGCCTAGAATCCTGCAGGGCTGGGTTTTGGGCAGCTTAGCCTGCCTGCTCCTACTGGGCACCAGAGCCAGCTTTGTGAGTGCAAATTCCAGGCGCTGAGGGAAGGGCGGGTGTGATTAGCAACACAGAGAAAGGCAGCCTGCCGGCCCCAGCACCCGGCACCAGGGAATTTGAATAGGAGAAAATGTCAGCCGCGCCTTTACACGTGTAAACTCCCCGGCCCCAGGCCCGCGCTGCTAATGTGGCGGTGCTTGCAAAGCGCCTAATGATTTTTGATAAGGTGCATATGGCCAATTACGCTGCCGGATAAGGCCAAAAGTGACTTATGGCTTCTAATGCCCTCACTACATCAATGTCACCCAAATTCACCCTGTTTAGAGACATGGGTGTGAGTGTATGTGGGGTCCCCAGAGTCCTGAGCCCTCCCCCCACACACACCCTGCACCTCACCCCTCCCGTTGGGAGCTTACACTACCCGTCCTGGGGGAGGCCTCTTTCTTCCTGAGTGCAAAGCCAGGGAGAAAAGGAATTAGCTCTGGAAGTAGGGAAAGAGGGAATCCATGTCCTGGCCTGCAGCATTCTGGAAGGCTTTCTGGTCACATTCTCCTGCTCCCTGCCAGGGCCAGAGGTGGGGGTGGGGCTGAAACTCAGTCCCTACCCCGATTAGGTCCTGCTGTCCACAGCTCCCAGCTAGATCCAGCTGATTCCATGGTTCGGAAAGGAAAGGCTCCAGTTTGTGCTGGGAATTAGCAGAAGATTCCCTCCTTCTTGCTCAAGTCCAGCCCTGGAAAGGGGCTCCCCACCCCCACTGCTAGGGCCAGCTGGCCAGACAGATTGGCCCTACCTGGGCCTCAGAAGACTAGAAGGGATCCAGGAGGCAAAGCAAAGATGTGATCCCAACCCAGCCTGCCAGACCTCGAGAGCATGGACTCCCGGGGCAACCCAAACAGATCCAGCTGGGATGTGGGGGACAAGAAGGCATCTTGGGATGCTCTGAGCTGTGACTTGGTTTCAGGCTGCACCCACCGCTCCCTGCTTCACAGCCCAGTCTGAATCAACCCCCTAGAGACAGGACAGGTCCCCATCCCCAAAACAGCCCAGTCCATTTGTCCCACTTCTCCTGCTCTAGACAGGGAGGACAGAATTAGGGTTCTGTTGCACAGAGGTGGAAATAGAGGCCTTTGGAAAGCCGTGGCAATGGGAAGGAATCAGGGGGACTGGACACTAGGCCCACCTCAATGTGACTGACACCTTGTGTCCCACAGGCGTTTTGGCACAAAGTGTGCAGGATGCGCACAGGGCATCTCCCCCAGCGACCTGGTGCGAAAAGCCCGGAGCAAAGTCTTCCACCTCAACTGCTTCACCTGCATGGTGTGCAACAAGCAGCTGTCCACGGGTGAAGAGCTCTACGTCATCGATGAGAACAAGTTTGTGTGCAAAGATGACTACCTGAGCTCCTCCAGCCTCAAGGAGGGCAGCCTCAACTCGGGTATGGAGGCCTCTGCCTTTCYCTGGCCGGTGGCCCTAGCACACTCCTGGGTCTGGCGCACTCTGCCTCCCCTGGTTCCCGGGTCTGTACTGGGCTCAGAGCTCATCATCCTAACTCACCGGCTGAGCCGTTCTAGGGTCGGGAGAGGGTTATTAAAGACCCGGGAAGACAGGACATTCTGAGCCTGTCCTGCAGGGAAGCTGGGTGCACCCTCCTCCAATTCAGGAGCCTTTTCCAAGTTCTCCTCCCTCAAATTTGAAACTGCACAATTCACTCTCTGTCATTTGGGATCCTGGCAATTTCTAGATGCATTGGGAGGACATTCTCTGGGATTTGGAGGAAGGGCGGAAAGGAAAGGAAGTGGAAGGGGGGCTGCACACTGCTCTGTCCCCTCTCCAAGAAGGTGGGTTTTCTAGAGAGCGTGCCCTCTGTACCCGGACCCCAGCTGAGATGGGCCGAGATTGAGTAGGGAGGTTTCAAAGGCCCAGCCCCGCCTGGAGAGAGTGGGCGGGCGCCGGGTCCCGGGGGGAGGGGCTGTCGCAGGTTCGGGAGGGAACCCTGCGCAGGCCGGCGGTAGCTTGGTCCGGGTGGAACTGGCCGCTGACGACTGCTGTCCCCCTTCCCAATCCGTCCGCCCGCAGTGTCATCCTGTACRGACCGCAGTTTGTCCCCGGACCTCCAGGACCCCCTGCAGGACGACCCCAAGGAGACGGACAACTCGACCTCSTCGGACAAAGAGACGGCCAACAACGAGAACGAGGAGCAGAACTCGGGCACCAAGCGGCGCGGCCCGCGCACCACCATCAAAGCCAAACAGCTGGAGACGCTTAAGGCCGCCTTCGCCGCCACGCCCAAGCCCACACGCCACATCCGCGAGCAGCTGGCTCAGGAGACTGGACTCAACATGCGTGTCATCCAGGTGCGGCCGGGATCGGGTCACTCCTCTCCATCGGTACTAGGGAGCGGGGCCCGGAGTCTCTTCGAAAGAAGCCTCCACCCAGCCTCCTCGTCTAAGAAACGTGCAGGGTTCTGATCTAGGGTCAGACAGTGCACCCGAGGTCGGGGACAGCTGGGCACCGCCCGAGGTGGGGAACTTGGAGCCAAAAGAGTCAGTCCCGCCCCGCTGCCCTCCTGAAGATGTCACAGTGGACCTGGCCACTTTGCCTCTCTGAATTCCGCTCCCCACCCTGTTCAGCGAAGGTTTTAAGCCTCTTTGGGGTCCAGGACCCCCCTCCTTCCCTCCCACCCTCCCATCTTCCCAGCGAAGAAAAGCTATGCCCGGCCCCAACCGATGCGCTGGCAGACAGACAAACGGCCAGAGCCTGGCTGGCTCCGGAGCCGGGGCAAGAGCTTGCCGGGCGGGAGGCCTTTATAAAGCCGTCAGGCCGCGGGCGAGCGGAGGACCGGGAAGCCCAAGTCTTTATGAGTCGCCCCACGGGTCCGCGAAATCCTTCACCCTTGGCTGGTTCGCCGAGGCCCTTCTCCACCCCTACCGGCCTAATCCGGCCGGGCCCCCGCCTCAAGGGAGTCCTGGCGCGCAAAAGGCGCTGGGCTCCAGCAGGGGCAGCCCGGGCAGGGGGAGGAGCGAGGGCACCCCTGACCCCAAGCTCACAGCCCCAAATTCCTCCCTAGGTGTGGTTTCAGAACCGACGGTCCAAAGAACGCCGGATGAAACAGCTGAGCGCGCTGGGCGCCCGGAGACACGCCTTCTTCCGGAGTCCACGGCGCATGCGTCCGCTGGGGGGCCGCTTGGACGAGTCCGAGATGTTGGGGTCCACCCCGTACACCTACTATGGAGGTAAGGGGCGCGCGGGGAAGTACGGCTCCACCCCCAGCCGCACTGTTGGGCACCTGGGTACACCCTTCGCTTTCTCTCATTGACACACGATCAAGGACACCCCTGGACAGACAGACATCAACTCGGGCAYCCTTATCCACAGATACCTCCTGGACAAAAGCAGGCACAGTGATATACAAATAACCACACGGGAGAGCATGACACTTGTCCTCACCTACCACCCCAGGACACGTGGGCCCGCGCGCTTGCTTTCATTCAGAGACTTCAGGGATGTGGTAGTAGAGGGAGGGTTACACAGAACCCCGCACAACAGGTACACTCAACTCCCCACACGCTGTCACCGAGACACACCCAGAAAGAGACCCAGAGACCCCCACACTCCCCGGGCCTCAGTATAATGCGGTCAGTGGCAAATCCACAAGAACTTGCGCCCCGGGAACACACAGCCCTCCGGCCGCCCTTGCCCAGGTGCCTGGTGTACTTGGCAGTAGCTGGAACCCAGCTTGAGACAGTGCTCAGAGTCCCTCCGGGTCCTCCTCCCTGGGCCGCGTCCTCCAGGCTTGCAGTGCAGTAGTTCCTGTTTTGCTGGGGGAGGGGACCATGGCCCGTGAGTCTGGCCCTGTTAGCCCACAAGCCAGAAGTTGCTCTGCGCCCTCCTTCCAGTCCCAGACAGGCAGGGATTCATCTGGATTGGGGGCCGCTTGATATCCACTTTCCCATCTTTGGGTCTGGAGAGATTGAGAMCCCAATTGCCAAGGGAAAATTCCAAAATTCAGCATTACCAGTCTCAGCCTGGGGTGGGCGCCCCACTTGGTCTCGCCCTTTCTTCTCCTCCCCTCCTCCTCTCCCCCACCTCCTTCCCCTCACAAGGGCTTGCTGACCCATCCCAACTGCCCACTCCCACCTCATCTCCCGCACACTGAGTCCTTTGCTCCGGGGACTAGCAGCACTGTTGGGGGGGTGGGGGTAGAGAAAACTCCTTCTTCTCCTTATTCATGAGCCTCTGAGCTCACGGAGCTAGGGCAGCGCCTAACCTGAGAGACTGCACACCTCTGCAGGACTCCGCTGCGGGCCTGCTCTGGGATAGTAACCCAGTTTAAGAAAGGCAACTGCCCTTTAAAAACTAGATCCAGGGACAAAGCAGGGAAGGGAGGGAAGGCAGGAGCCAGGCCTCCAGGAGGGAGGTAAGAGAACCCGGTGACCGGCCTCCGGGCACTATTAGGGAGCCTCCGCTGCCCAGCCCTGGACAGTCCAGATCGTGGGTGTGTTCTCCGGGGTCTCCACTCACCCACTCGTTGCACCTGCACAAAACCTCGGGCGGGAGCGGGGAGGTGCGGGGGGTGGTACTGACCCGGAATTTTTCCCCGCCTGAGTAATTAACCAAAGTTTTCCGGAGAACCGGGGCGCCCCGCACCAATCCCGCCGCCTCCTCTCCCTGCGCGCCTGCTGGGGGTGGGGGGCAGGACACCGGGGCCCCTCTTATCCCGGAATGAAGCGGGGGACAGAGCTCCCCAGCCCCCAGCGAGGCAGCCCCGCCTAATCCGCGCTGGGAGATCCCGGCGGTGGCGGCCGGCAGCGGGCGAGAAAGGGGCCGGGCGGCGGGGCCGGCGGCTCCCCGTGGGAGCGCGGACAAAGCCCCAGCTGCGGCTTTTGTGCCCTTTTCAGACGGCGTTTGTTCCAATTACCTCCGGCCCGGCCGCCATATGGGCGGAGGCGGCGCGCACCGCGCGGGGGCCGCGGCCTTCGCTGGTTTGCCGGCTCGCTGCGGGCCGCGGTCGTCCCCATCCCCGTCCGTTTAGGGCCCAAATTCGCTTTTCTGAACCTTTTCCGGGGAGAATGGAATTTGTAGTTAAAAAAAAAAAAAAGTAACCGGCGAGGGTTTTAGCCATAGCCTAAGCTGTCTCCAGGGCGCGCCTCCAGTCACCACCCCCCATTTTGGACAGATTTCAGGATTTGGAGAAGAAAGGGGGYGGCGGGCGGTGGTGAGGGGGGAGGGCCTCCGACACTTGGCCTGTGACCGAGACTCCAGGACTGAGTAGGAGGAGTGGGTTTGCAGAAGAGACCCTGGCTTATGGACGAGCTGGTTTTCCCACCGTACAAAGCGGGTTGTTGACATTAGAGCAGGCTACAAAGTGCTCCTTTCAAAAGGGTGCCATACCCTAATACTTGAGGGGCCCAAATGGGGAGGGAAGCATGCTGTCCCCAAAGACCTGGAGGAGAGGCTGTGGAAGGAGGCCCAAGGGTTAATGCAGAAACAATTTGTTTTTGGAGGATGACCTGTGGCCTGGAGTCCTGGAACCCCTGGATGTGTCAGGGAAATCCGCATCTGTCCATTTTTTTTTCTTGCAAGAGAGCAGGTAGATCTCATTAGCTTCTGCAAAGGATTAAACCTTCACAAATGGTTCGGAACCTGGTGCCCTGGCCTGTGCACCCAGGGTGAAACTGGAGAACCAAGCCACCACCCCAGGTGCCTTCCAATGTTCTCCCTTTGCCAGTGGCCAGGGCTCAGTTTCTCTGTTCCAGGCTAGCAAAGCGGTTCAAACAGAGCCCGCTTTCTCCYGCCTCCACCAGGAGGGTCGCAGGGGCTGTGGTTGGCAGGGCAAAAGACCAGACCAGGTCGGTGGGGCTCAGGGGCGGAAGAGAAGGGGCCTGCCCGCTCTGAGTCCAGGTGATGCTCTGGGAGCTCAACTGGACAACCCCTCTGTGGTCCCGCCGCCCGAGTTCGCGCAATGCTCTGCTCCTGCCGGTTCATTTATTACCACCCGGCTCCTTCCCTGCCTCGGTGTCTCCAACGGTTTCTTGGGCTCATCTCGCTGGCCCACTGTCTCACCATCTCTGGACGCATCTGCCTCTTCATCTTGCTTCTTGCTCCTAAGCCTTTCACCGTCCACCCTCGGTTTTCTGGTGTATCTCTAGCCGGGACTCTTACTCGATCTCCGATCCCTATCCGGCCCTTGCATCGCTGTCCCGATCCTCGGCATCTCTGGGTCTCCAAGTCTGGTGACTCCCTGCTGCTGTGCCTTTTGCGCTTTCCACTCGCCTCGGCCWTCCCCGCTGCCTCTGCCCGTGCCCCTCCCCGACTCTAAGACCCTGGGAATCCTTCGCTGTCTCTGCGTCTCTGACCACCGCTGTCCCCCTCTTCTCTGGGACTTGAAGATTTGCCGCGTTCCGGGTCTGTCTCCCTGGGTCGCTGCGCCTCTCTTGCCGCTGTCCCTCGCCGCCTCGAGTATTTCTCATTATCTTTCTCCCCAGCCTTACCCGAGGGTCTGCTGCGTCCTCCCCCATCTCCACGGGCCCGGGCCTCATTCTCCCTCAGTCTCTGCAGACAGCCTTGGGTCTCTGACTTCGAGTTTTTGTCGCGCTGTCCCCCCACTAACGCCCCCTCTCGCGTCTGTAAGGTCTTTTGCGCCGGTGACCACGTCGACGCGTCCCAGGCAGGCCTTGGTCTCAGGGGGCCTCCTCCCCGGGATCCCGCGGGCCCCTCCGGGACGTGGCGGTGTCTCATTGCTGCCTCTCCCCTCCCGCTTCCCTCCCGCAGACTACCAAGGCGACTACTACGCGCCGGGAAGCAACTACGACTTCTTCGCGCACGGCCCGCCGTCGCAGGCGCAGTCCCCGGCCGACTCGAGCTTCCTGGCTGCCTCGGGGCCCGGCTCGACGCCGCTGGGCGCGCTGGAGCCGCCGCTCGCCGGCCCGCACGCCGCCGACAACCCCAGGTTCACCGACATGATCTCGCACCCGGACACGCCGAGCCCCGAGCCGGGGCTGCCCGGCGCGCTGCACCCCATGCCCGGCGAGGTGTTCAGCGGCGGGCCCAGCCCGCCCTTCCCCATGAGCGGCACCAGCGGCTACAGCGGACCCCTGTCGCATCCTAACCCCGAGCTCAACGAGGCCGCCGTGTGGTAAGGCCGCGGCCGGGCCGCCCCTGCGCACGGCCCCCGGGGCGCAGCCCGGACGCAGCCTCCGAAACCAAAACGCCCGACGCGGACGCGGCCCGGATCTCCCTCAGGGGTTCTCTCTCGGGTCCGCACTCAACTGGAAGCTGCTCCTCGGCTGGGCGCCGAGGGGGGCCGACCCCCATCTGCACCCCGGGGGCTCTCCAGCTTCAGCCAGCCKCCCGCCTGCGCTCTCCGGGCAGCCGTGAGCAATTTCTTGGGACCAAAGTCAATATTCCGGAGGGTCAAGAGATTCCAAGCACGCTCCGGATCCCGGCCCCCACCCTCCCACCAGCTCTTTGGACGGAGAGGGGGTGAGGCCAGGGGCGGAGATGGAGGGTTTTTCCCCCTCCCTCTCTCTCTGCAATCCGAGTGGCATTTTGTAATCTCATTTCTCGCTCTGCTTTCTCCATCTTTAAATTTTTTTTTTATAAGAAAAAGGAGAGATTGAAAGGGAGAGAGAGAGAGAGATGAGGAAAGCGTCAGGCAGAGAGAGAAGATGGAGAGGGCGATCGAGGGAGGCACACACTCCATCAGGGGGACCCGGGGAGACAGAGCCACCTGCAGGCTGGCGCCCCCTGGTGGCCAATACGAAGGCTCAAGGTCAGCTCTTCCAGGATGTGGGGCTGTCCTGGATGTGGCCAGCGGGGCCAGCTCCCTTGCCCTTCCTTACTTTGACATTAATTTTGAGCCTGAGGGTCCAGGTTGGACTCGAACACCGCCCACTTCTGCCCCTGGGCGAGGCACCAAGTTGCTGGGCTCTGGCCCGCAGACCACCCTCCCTGCCCCGGGGCCTGGAGTTGGGCCGTCAGGATGTACAATATTATACTTTTTTGGAAGTCGAACGCTTCTAGTTTCCTTATTTTGTATAAAGAAGAAACAAATAAAGTATGTTTTTGTGTTTACTGTTTATTTATTGTACTCTAGTTATCTGGGGGCTGGACATTTTTATATTTTTAAGAGGGAGGGTGGGCAGAGTGGGGAGGGGAGGCAGAAAGAGGTTTACCTAAAAAAAAAAAAACACAAAAAAATCAACGTTTTTTAAGAAAGATTAATAAAAAAAAATTCTTTTTTCCCTCCTCGCTGTGTGGCTTTCTTTTGTCTCTGATTTCTCCTTCCTTGGGTTGTGCTTACCTTGACAGAGTGAATAAGGCCATGGTTCTTTCCTGCCTGAACAGATTCAGTGGGCACAAAGGCCTCTCCTCATCAAAGGGGCAGTTATGGGGTGCCCACTGGGTGGGTGAAAGTGGCGGCCAGTTTTTGATGGTTGCTACAGCCAGGCTGGGTCTCCCCAGCTTGAAGTAAGGCCCAGCGTGACCACGAGCCGGCTCAAGCACATAGTGGACCTGTGTGTGCATCAGCAGAAGACCTGATGTGTGAATGCATGTGTGATGGACTCTAGCTTCACTCCTGTGCATGTGCATGTTCCCTTACTTTGGCCAAAAACAAAACAAAACAAAACAGAAAAACGGAGGAGGGAAGAAAAGGGAGCCGGCCCCAGGAGCCTGCGGGCTTTATCTGCAAGGCTGTGTTAGGACCCAGGGCCCCGTGGGGAACAGGGCTGGGGCGCYCCCCAGTCCTGGGTACATCTTATGTCCTTGGGGGAAAGCAGGGCAGAAAGAGGGCTGTGGGAGATTTAGGGGGCCCAAGGCCACTACCCCCAAACAAGCCCCTCCAACCCTCTTTGCTCACTTTCCTGACTTGCAAAAGTGGGGTTTGGAGGGACAGCTGCTTACACCCCCTTTCCACTCAGGCACTAGAGGGTTCGGAAAACAGGTGAACTAGATAAAAATAGGTGCCTAGCGTCCCTCATCACCCTCACTTGGGGTGCTGGGAGCTAGCCCAGGTGAGCAGCCAGGAGCCCCGGTCCCCTGTCCCTTATAGCACATTTGTCCTCACCACACAGGTGCTACTTGCTCACTGCGGAAATTGTAGAAATTTCAGACGCACAAAAAGAAGAAAATGGCGTCGTCCAGCGTGTGGAGCCCTGTGGTCCTGGGGTGGACGCGTTTCCTCCCTGGCTTTTTTATTTATTTTTTCCCCTCGTTTGAAACTAGAAATGGTGCCCTGAGGGCGCCCTGGGTCACTTGCTCTGGCTCACCCAGCAACATCTTCCAGGTTCATGAACTGATCATAATCAGAGTTATATTATCCCCTGCGATGGCTTAAAATCCCTTGAATGGATGAGCTGCGTGTGTGGGTGTGTGTGCGTGTGTGTGTGTGTGTGTGCACGCACGTGTGCGTGTGTGTCTAGATAATTCTGTTGTGGAGACGTTTGGGTTAGCTTCCGGTGCCCACCACTTCCACCCTGTTGGAATGAGTACTCCGGTGGCCGGCTGTTTGGACTTGTATCAGGGAAGGTATTATTTGTCCCATCAGGATGCTCGCAGAGGTCAAGGGACTTGCCCACGGTCACACAGCTGGGGAGTGACAGAGCAGAGATTCAAGTCCCAGCACTGGGGTGGGCTTCTCTTCCTCGGYGGTGCCCCAGGGGGAATGGATTCTAGAGGCCAGAGGAAAATTTGCAAGGTGGACCTTGTCCCTGCTGGGCTCCTGGTGACTCCTGCGCACGTGTGGATTTTGCAGAGGGGCTGTGTCACCAGAGACAGGGAAAGCTGGGAAAAAGAGGACCTGCYCCCCCTGCTCCTCCAGGAACAGGCTGTGACMGGGTGACAGAGGCAGGGAAGGGGGRAGGGGGAGGARGATGGAGGAGGGCTAGGCAGAGAGGGGGAGAGGGAAAGGGAGGGAGGGAGGATGCCTGCTCCAGGAGGAACACCCCTCAGGGGTGCCACCGCTACTGCCCAGGCCCCACGGTGGTGTCCTGTCACCCAGCCACCTGCCTGAAAGAGATACCTGTGCCCGGAGGCGTCAGCGAGCTCATCAATGTGGCAGCAGACTCCGCTACCCCCTTCARGTGCCCCCCCACACACACACACCAGAGACACGTGTGGGCACGCACAAGCTCATGAGCCCATGCAAACACACGTGTACAACAGAAACCACCTGCAGACGGCATGAYCAGGCACATGGACACCCCTCCCAATCCTCTGCACATGCAGACACACGTGGACACAGGCAGGTGCGTGGCAGGCACCCGAGGTGACACATGTGTGCTCAGAACAGTGTGTGAACACACACCYGCAGGCCTGTGTATATGTGTGCACACCTATCCCCCACAACCCCCATGGACACAAAACCCACACCCCTGTCCCTACCCAGGTGGGCCCACGTCACACAGCACAGCACATTCCTGCCATTCAGATGCTGTGACTTCAGTGTGGGAGGAAGAGCCAGGATGGGGAGAAGCCTCGTTGAATCAGGAGATCCCTAGATAACCTGGGGGTCCCCATCAAGGCCTCTGGGGAGGGCTCCAGAATCCAGATTCAGCACCCACCGCYGTCTTCTTAATATGACAGGAGTGGGTGTTTGATGAAATGGCGTATACGCCAAGGCCCACCCCACCGAGGCGGCTTGGCCTAGATGGAGCTTCCCCCAACCAGCCCGACAGGATTCTGCTTGCCTGGACCCCTTGACGAGAGTCCCCCTTAAACCTCATGACCCTCTTCTGAAAGAGTGTTGTTATCCCCACTTCACAGAAGAARAGCCTGAGGTCCAAGGGGTAAAGTGAGCTGTGGATGGGGCCGGACCGGGTTTTGAATCCAGGCTTTTCCGCTTTGAGAATCTGTGCTGCCCCTGGGTGCGGGACAGAGCCCTGCACAGATGTCTAATGACACAAACCCGCGGATGGGAAGATGGCTGGCGAGTGAGTGAATGAAGGAGTGAACGAGGGAAGGTGGTCACCAGGGAGGGGGGTCTTCTAGAGAGGACCTGGCCAACGCTGGTTCTTCCTCAAGCACCTCCACTGGATTTTTTAAAAAGCCCCCTCCACGTTTGAACAGCAGCTGGCCGGAAGGGCAAAGGGCGTAGGCAGATTGCCAAGGTCAGAGACCCGAGGACCCGGCCTCTCGGCCTCTCCCGGCTGCCCTTGTTCTCCCCCTGCCCCGATGTCCTTGTCCCTCTCCTTCTCTATTAATGTCTCTGTTCATCTTCTATCTCCCCATCGCTGGATCTATTATCATTTAAAAATAAAAGGCTTCCAAGAAGGTGGGGGAAAAAAACATGGTAAGGTGTGGAGATGGGATGTCCCCCAGCTCTGGAAAAAGGGGCTGTCACCTGTCCCCACCACCCCGGATTCAGGCCAACACCAGTTCAACCCCACCTCTCCCAACCCCCCCCCCACTGCCGTCCCTGTCCCTCTTCTGCTGCCCCCAAATAAATGCCCCGCGGAGCACGAGGGCCGGCCCCCCGCGCTCAGGACTAATATTTAAAATGCAGAATGGCTGCGGAGGGCCCTGCTCCCAAGTCCTGTAGTGCAGTAAAAAGATATAAACAGAATAAATTACCTCTCCCGCTCAGATCCCGAGAATGCCCATCTCCTGACTGGAATTTTAAGTCCTGCCTCCCCGGTCTCGCGGCACTCGGCTGATTTATGGAAACCCCGGCGCTTCTCTGCATATTTCTCTGTTCAGCCGAGTGACCAAGTTTACCCTTCCTATGCCATTAGCGTTATTAACACCTGGGCAACCGATCATTGCAAATGCGCCATTTCGATGATGGACAGACACCTCTCCTCCAGGGCCACGCCACCCCTGGGCTCTGCCTGCTGGCTTCCATGCCAGGGCTCAGGACCATCCCCGCCTGCCCGCCATGCCCACCCCCGTCACCTGCTGATGGGCTCCCCGGGACTCGAGGAGGACACCCCTCACCCTAGCAGGTGGCTAGCTTTCTGGCAAATTACAGAAGCCACGACCCAGCCCCTGGATGTGGTTTCWAACTCTTCAGAGAATGTTCTAGAAGGGGACAATCAGTGTCCCCTCCTCATTAATCAGAGAAAGAAGCAGAGGCTCAGAGAGGGCAAGAGAGCGGCCTAAAGCCCCAGAGTTCACAGTGGACGTGGGAGCAGAATTCAACTCTGCTAGCCCCTTGCCACCCAAAGTTCCATCTCAGGACCGCCAACAGCAGCAGCAGCACCTGGAAGTGGTGGCCCCCAGGTATCCATGGACACATTGATTTCCTGAAGCATCGGCTTAGACATCACCTCCAGACCCTCAATGATCCATTTTCACTGGGGCCGAATCTGAGGGTAAAAATTCTCTTTGCTTAGAAAGAACTGAGGGAGACCCTCATGATGGTCAAACTGACCAAGTGAAGATGAAGTAGCTGGCCCTCCTGGACACCTCTGTCCATGTCTCCTCAACTCAACCC